CCGAAAATTAAAAAATTAACGTGAAAGCCCATTGCAAAGCGATTTATTACATTGCATAGAAAAGAAAAAAAAAACGTCCAACAGTCTTTAACTAAAAAACTCGCTTACACGAAAGCGGAAGAAAAAATTCCTGAAGAATATTCAAATTATTCAACCTAATTCACAATTTACATTCTACAATAAACAATCTTCAGGCTTGCACATTTAATAACAAAAACCTTCAACTCAAGTTTACGACTTTTTTATTTTTTATTCCCCCGGAGAGAAATATCCGATAAAAATCATGGACTATTCCAAAAAGGTCCCATAACAGTTTCCGTAAATTTTTTTTATTGAATATTGCGCGCGCTTGAGCATTTTCCCCGGGTAATTTGACAATTCAACAATATTAAGAGGTGATCAGCTGTTGTTAGGGGTTGAAAAACAAAAGCACCCCTATTGATCCATCGAAAGCCCCTGACCCCCCCGTCCCGATAATGAAACATGTGCGATACCGATTTTATCAATTTTTTTCCAGCACCTCGATATTTCTGGGTGTATGAATAAGATGAGAATGTCAACCTGCTCGGTAATTTCTCCGAAAAATCGGGGGCACACCCGCGGCCCCTACCCCTCGAAAAACCATTAACGATCTACCCCAGTTAATCCCCGGGCGTATGTCACGATATTCCGATGTACAAGTGGAGGAAGGGGGGTATGAAATTTGCTTTGGACCCCTCAGTACATATCTCTCGAGAAATCCACATACTCATGTACCCCTCGGAAGGCACGAGGGGGTCGTAGAGCCTCGATGGTACAATGGTAGCGGAAAATAGTTACAAAACAGACGTCATGACGAGCGTAAAAAGGGGGATCCCTCGATGCAGGAGAGAAAAAATGTGATCATGCGTAGGCGGGGGTGTGAAAATATTCTGGGGGGCGCCAGGACGGTTGATGCATAAAATGTCCCCTCCGGTGGGTTATACCCCAGGGAGGAGACGGCAACTGACGGGATTAAGGACCACGGGCGTATAATAATTCTCGTGGTTTATGTGCTCGCTATTTCGAGAATCGATATACGTGTCATATAGTCCATGGGTATACGATGCATTGTGCATTTATCCGTGGCGCCATATGTGCGTATGTTGCGCGTTCCTCGAGTGCCTTGTGCGGCTTACCTCATATATATTCTATCTACTAGGGGTTTCGGGGATAGAATCGATAGTCGGGATTCTAGTGAGGGTACGGGGGGTTCGGGGGCTCCTATCGTGACTTTTCGATGCTCCCGTAATCGGTGATATTAACTAAATTCTGTTACCATCTGATAATTATTCCTCAGTCATTAATTGACTCAAAAACAGATTATTAACTCATGATTAATCATGATAATTAAAAATAAATGTAAATTATAGATAAAGACGTACCGAGATCTTCACGGGATATTTGGAAGAATTAAATTCCTTTTTAAAATCCATTCATACAAATTAATCGAATGAAAAACCGTTAAAAAGTCTTTCATTTTTGATGAATGATTTGTCAGCAATAATCGGAATTGAGTGGAGAATTCTCGAGGTGGATTTTCTCTTCAAGATAATTGTAGTCCAATCTGAAGAATAACAACGCGTGAATCATTTGACGAATTATCCGGTTTGTTTATATTAAAAGTATAATCGGCGAGCTTTCTTACACAAACGTTGATGTTACATTGTTGAATCGTGATTGTGTGCACTTGCATTATGTATCTCTCAGACGCCAGATAGCTTGACTTTATTCATATATTCATTGAATAATTGTAGGATATGTTTAGTTATAACCCAAGGAGAATGGCATAACAGAGAGGAAGCGACACGCCTCCGTAATGCTTGAAAATTTCACTTGAACCGAGTGTATGCCTTCATTTCGTACCGCGATCATCATGAATGAAAAATGGAAAAACGTGGAGGACAAATAAAAATATATATGAAGGAATGGGAGAAGGTCACGTGCAGGAAAATATCACCCCTCTTGATCTCTACGATTTTATCTTCAAGTCGGGATCGTTCGAGTTAATTATTATTATTATTGATGAAACACCGTATCCGGCGATGGTATCGATAACTCGATCTTTACGATCGATTTAACGATAATGAACTTTATGTGGAGCCCTTGAAAATGTCGTCGATGTTATTCCTGAGTTCAGTGACTGAATCAAATTCTACTTTCGTATTATGAATTTTTAAGCTGTTTATCATTATTAAATTAGAGTATCTATTGGGTGCTTTTTTATAATTTCGAATGGATTTTTCCACTGTGGAAATGTCGAGTGATAAAGCTCTTCGGTTTTATTTTCCAAAGCGAATGGGATAAATTGATTGTTTGTTTTTTCCTCAATCCCAACAGGAATCTCTCTGCCAATTGATTCTAACAATTTTTGATGCTCTATTTTATCGGGTTTGAAACCAGGTACTCGAGAGTCTGGGAAATTAATCCAATTTTTCATTTGATTCCAGAAAAAAAAATCAGGATAAACTAATAATTGAATTCGCCGCATTCGCCGTTCTCCGAACCCCTGAAAATGTCCAATTCATTACTTCAGTCTTCAATAATTGAATAAAATTCCATTTCCCATTTCCATCTTCACGTATCAATTTTTCAAAAATCTCAACCAAAACTTTGAATGCGAACATCACGTAAACAAGCCATTGAATTTTATTTCCCCAAGTTAACGAGATAAATCGTTTATTTGTTTTTCTTCGAAACCGATAAAAATCTCTCCGCCAATTGATCCAAACAATTTTCAATTGTACATTCTATCGGCTCGAAAACTCGTACACGCCGTGCGGAAAACGACTGGTATTTATCGTTGAAATCGGAGAAATAAAAAATCGGAGGTAAACGAATAATTGAATTTGTCGCGTTAGGGAAACAATTGCCTAGTGATTGAAGCAGACGAGGTTCATGCCCCTAAGACAACAGACGGGTAATGAGTGTTATCACGAGTCCCACAATCGCGCGTTAATTTATATTCGGTGCGTTACATTATCATATAGACGAGTATTTCACGTCTACGCGGGTTATCGGCTTTTCACGTCGACCGAGGCATTGTGTTAGTTTGAAACACTTGTATGTGAAGGAGAGAGAGAGAATTTAACCAGTGCATCATCATCATCATCATTGCGGACCGAGCGTTGTATCGCAGTAACGCTCAAGGCACGCGCAGCCACGTGTCATGAATAGCATGTTAAATATATGTATTGCACAGGGATGAATATCGTCATTCCAAATTCATCTCACTATTACAATCCAAAAATCAATTATTTACCGGTAATTCATTATGAAATGGTGACATATCATGACACGTGGGGAATTCACACGGAAAATCACATCTTCCGAAGCGATCGACTGGGCAATCAGACAATATAAACAATTTTTTGTCACAGTAAAATTTCCCAAGACCTTGTCGTTGAAAATCCGATTTTCCACACCGCGAGAAATGTCCAGAGAGTAACGGGAAATTTAATGGAGCATTTCGCAATTTTTTCTCTGCATTTTCCCGTAAAAAAAATGCGTGATCGGTAAGCGAACCTGAGCTGCGCAATTATTATTGAACACCTCCCCCACAAAAGTATGTAAACATCAATGAAAATAATCGTTAATTCCTGTATGAATAGTAAAACCTACGTGATGCGTTAAAAGTCCAAAAAATCGAGTGGAAAATTCGTTTAGAGACTTAATGAACGTTCTACAGGTTGAAAAAGCTCATGTTTTTTTCCGTCCACTTTGTTCGGCAATTTTTTTCTCCTCCCCTTTTTTTTTTTGAAGCTTTTTAAAACGTTTACCCACCAATTGGTATATCATGAGAGGACAGGGAATAGTTGTAAATTGGGATGGGGAGGTGGGAGCTGAGGAAGTGGCTGGAGAGGAGGGAAGCCATTCGCCCTCCGGAGGTAACAGAGCAAGTGTGCACACCTCTTTCTCACCCTCCGGTCTCTTTTCTCCTCTGTGTTCCCTCAACTAATGGATTCGCGAAGCGACCGTGTTCACCAACACTTGGAGATGTTCTCACACGTACATCTGGGGATTTCTATGCACAGGACGGAGGGATAAATGGCCCAACTGCCCTCTTCCTTTCCACGTTTCCCTCGTCAGAGACACAGGCATTCGTACCCATATACCTACCCCCATTTTCCTCGAGATATTCCACTGGTACATGTCGTAATCGTTGTGAATACTCCGAGAGCCCCAGGCCCTGTTAGATCGTGACAATTAACAACTGCATTTCAAGATGTTGGATTATGGGGTGATATTAATCTGGATCACTCAGGAAAATTGATTTTTCCTTCAAGACTTAAATCACTTGTTCCCATAAACTCGGGTTTATGGTGTGTAGGCAACAGAATTCCGTCGAACAAGTGACTTTTCCACTTATTTCAGCCATTTTCTATCTGAAGCTTGAATATTATAAAACATTATAGTAATAAATAGTGTAAATAATAATTATTTATGGAGTTATTCAATTGTTATTGCTTTTTTTACATTTATGTGTGTTTTTTCATTTTTTTTTTTTCGAAGGGCGGGTTTTTTTTTATTTGAGAAATTCCTGAATGATTTCGAAAATTGAATGATAGATTGTTTGTCTGAATTATTTGTCTATCATTACTATTATCTGTGAGTTGATAAGGGATAATTGATAAAGACTCTGGTGTCGTAAATAAGGATATATTTTTTTATTATGTGACAATATAGGTTCTAGGTTATTCTCAAATTTTAAGTATAAAAAAGTTGCTGTTATCACGTATTAATCTAATTAACTCCAAAACTTAATTCTTCTCGTTATCTTATCACAATTTTTGAGCGCAATAATTTGGATTCTAAATGACGTTGGAGTTCAGTTATTTATTGAATCTCCGAGGTATATGCCTATTTGAGAATAATATTCAACTTACTTTATATCTTTGTAAATACTGGGATTGTGAGATCTACATGACCAATGAAATAACCACGAATCCACGAAAAAACAGGCGGGGAAGACCTTTATAATCGTTTGATTCAGTAGACGCTATTTGAGTTCTCATCGAACCATCCAAAATTACAATCGTATAACATGGAGCTGTTAAACAAAATTTCAATTCTGTTCGGTGTACTCTACGCCATCCATTCAGGCCTGGGTAAGTCAATTTCTTAAAAAAAAAAAGATAAATGTTCATGATGTAATGAATTTTTCTATTTTCTACAAATTATTAGAGGAACGAACGGATTCTCAAAAAGTTTAGTTTGACCAACCAGAATAATTAATTGAAAATAAATGAGAATTTCCTGCTCATTCGAAAATAGTTCTGCATTAAAAAATGCATGAATTTTAAAATTTTACTTGTTTCCGGTTCTTGGATGATTTTTTTAGGAGCTTCTACGTGCGAGCCGTCGGAGCCAATAGAAAAAGATTGGAATTACGGTCTGATTTTTTGTAGTATAAAGTGTTACAGTGAAATATTTCCCAACTCATCCTATTTATTCTATGACAAGGACTTGAACAGGTGTACCTGCATGTAAGTTCAACCCCTGACCTTCAGTAATCGATGTGTACTTATTGAATTCTGATTTAATTTTGCAGAGATCAATCCCGGGAGCTCATCTTTGATGATTTCCAGACGGCACCTCAGATTGATCAATTGAGAGATGTGGAATATTTCGCTGAAAGGTGTTACGAGCAGACATCGAGCAATCCACAACATTTTTACTTCGACAGAGTAGGAGGGAGATCCGCCTGCAGGTGAATTAATTCATTCCAGGCCCTCAAAGAGGCCCCCTATTAACCGTGTATGTATTCATTGCCAGGAATCCGACGGGGGAAATTATCTTCGATGAAAACATTCCCGACTATTCCGCAGGCACAACAGAAGAAGAGGAAGACCCTCTCTATTAGATCGTATCGCCGCTCCAATTTGGGAAAACCAAAATGTCTCCAATTGCAAGTGAAAATATATATTTTTATAAACATACAACGGAATCCTCGATTTGAATTTGAACAAGAACAGCAATTAAATTGACGTTGGGGTTCACTGATAAGATTCCTAGAAATGTGACGTGACGTCGTGAGTCTTAATAAATATTTAATCAATAAATAAATAAATATTTCCTAGCAGATGAACAGCGAGACCTACAGAGATGTCAAAAAATTATTCATATTCATCGTTATTTAAAAAAATACAGATTCTGCATGGATTGAATGTACCAGGAAATCGAATGGCGGTTTGAAAGGCACAAGATCGATCTAACCAAGGCCAACAAGAGGCTATAGGATTCTCAAGCGCATTTCAGTGAGTGCATACGTTGGCTTATCACACGCGGGCCTTCCCCACGTCTATTAGTGAGACTAACGAGTCCTGCCTGCTTTATTCCATTCACCTAACAAACAGAGAGAGCCCACAGTGTTCCTCGGCACGTTTATATACTCGCGTTTATTCCGTGAATGGGGTTGCAACCAATCTCCCCCACGGATCTCTGTCTCTTTCTCTGTTTCCTCAGCCAAGTGAACAGTTGTTCAACACACACAAGAGTTCACAAGAAGGAAAGCCCATTCCAAGTGGTTGAGGTTGCTCTACTCGTTGCCGGTGCGAGCTACCGTTTTCAGATTACAATCTTTTATGCCACTACGACCACCGCTGAAGAAGTGGATAGAGTGAGATTGTGTTGGGCACCTTCAGGCAGAATTTTGTCGTCGTGTGTCTACCCATTCTGGGCCTTTTATGGGCCTCTTTCAATCCTCTGTCTGTGTGCCTCTTCTCCACTCAGGACGACTTTGATTTTATCTCTTCGATTCTGTTATCTCGAGCGCCTCATTTTTTTTTCTATTCCTGGAATGATGGAATTTATTTTCACCACTTTTTTTGCAGTTCGAAGGGGAAAAATTGCGTGGTGGTCGGCAGATGGACGGCGTTAATGGTCTTGTTTGAGGTGCTAATCGATGGGGAATTGTCAATCGTGTTCGATTTGTAGAAATCGTAGGAGAAAAATTATTGAAATTATTCTCGGGGAAATTCACCACGTGCTGAGGGATCAATTTTTCGTTGTCATTTTTTATGAATTTGTTCTACTTACTTCATTGGTTTTCCCGTTGACTAGCGTCGGAAATTTTTTTTACGTGTCAGTCACAAGGTCGATAAATTAGAAATTCTGAGAAATTATTTAGAATAATAATTATTTACAAGAGATTCATCCATTAGCCGATGAAGTATTCTTCAAAAATTTAATATCGTCATTGAGAATTTCAAAAAATCTTGAAAAATTCTCTTGCGAAGTCATAAACTAGGATAAGTGAATTTTTCGAGGCCCTTTCCAACGAATATCTCAGAATTGAAGAAAGTCACCGATATTTTCAAAAATCCATATTTAGCAGTTGTCATCTTTTTCCATAAAAAATATGCAAAAATATATAACAAAAAATCTGAATTCAAAATTTCAAAATTAATTTTCGAACCGCGTACGTCCTCACGATACCCTTCGAGCAAAATGTTGTTGGAACCGCAGGGACTTACCTGAAACAAAAATAAAAATCATCGATCAATGGATGAGAATCTTTCCAACAGATGGATGAATATCAATGACCACTGTTCAAGGCTGAAATTAATGCAAAAATATTAGAAGTGGCTTCGCCTGAATGACGGCACGAGGGAGCGGTACCCGTGAGGGATGAAAGAGAATATACCGAGATAAGCTCGAGGGGGTAACGATGCCACGATGAAAACGAAGGCATTGATTCAATAATAATGATGTTACGCGTGAAACCAGACGAGACCAACGTCTTGGGGTATAAAACAGAGTGGAATGATGAAGGATAGAAAGTTGCCGAGGGAAAAGGTAACGCGCCAACGAGACACCGATTTTCCTAGGTAAATGTCATTATGGTGGAAGGATTATGTAAATTTCCTCGTTATCCGTGGCGGCCGTAGTTGCAGGCAACTGAGTAATATACCCAACGACACTGTTCATAATAGTGAGACGAAGGGAAGATGGGATAGTTCACTTGCACCCGTTGTTGGACATTCTAACGAAACGTCTTGGGAAGTCGAGGCATTAATCTTCTGAGGGAAACTTACGCCCTTATCGGACCTGTCTTATCAATTCGATCTGCTTATAATCAGTCTAAAAGCTCCGACTTTTTTATTTTGCTTGCTTTTATTTTTGCTGCACCGTAGAAAAAACGATTATGCTAAGAAATTAATTGCTTGACCTGAAGGATTACCAATTATAAAGGGTAGTCATCTGAATTTTTGATTACATGAGTTCGAATTTAATCTCGATTAATATCTGTCACTGAATTTTTTCGTTTGTCTTGAAAATTGAATTGGTTTGACAAATTGGTTTTCGGATTGAGTTGCAAGGGATTTTTTAATAAAAGCTTGAATTTTTAATTTTATGGGAACTCGTTCCTTGAGGATTCAACATTTTTAATGAGAAATGAGAATTACCAGAATTTTATTTTTGAAATTGACTGATTTATTAATGGAGAATGCTCTAGAAATTTCAGGTCACTTTGCTGTCATTAGAAATTCACGATTTCATTAGAAATGTGAATAGATTAATAAATTCAACCGGAGTTAATGTTCAATTTTAAAGTGCATGATTATATGATGATATCATTATAGATGAATGATTTTGTAATGAACAGTGATGTTACTTAACGCCCAATGACTTCAGGAGAGAATTCAGACACCGAATTCTGACCTCCTAAAATTTATATGAGAGTGTTCAATAAAACAGAATTAGTCCCCGAAAATAGCGTGCATGGCTCATTCGAATAAATTAATTTATGATATTTTCGAATGGGCTCCACTCAGAGCTAATCAGTTTGCCGAGTCATTGGTACTAGAGAGGGGATGGAATTGATGAACGCTGGAATGGGGTTGGAATGTAATGTTCATTAATTACGTCGTCAATTGTTGTCAGCGAGACAGGGGACAAATGATGCTATGTGGATGATTGAATCCACGGGTGCCTTTGTCCTCTCCACTTTCGAAGTGGAATTTTTTTTTCAAGGATAAAATTAGGATATAACGCCCAATGCGTCACTGAATATTCAACCCATTGGCAATTGCCAATTGTCCTGTACTGCCGCAGGAAAAAAAAATTACACTGAGAATATGTAACTTGCAAAATCATTGTGGGATTTTTGAAAAACCATGGAATTTTAGACTTTACAGATAATTGAGTAAAATTTCAGGAATTCGAATAAAAAATGCATATATAAAAATTAATAACAATTGTCAGAGATTTTAATCGGTTTTTATAGGATTATCCATTCAGATTTAGATGAAAACCCACGGAATTTCAGGTGTTCCAGAGAATTCACTGAAATTTCTGGGATTTCGTGAAAATGGAGGTAAAAATTGCGACTACGTGACTAGTCACATAATTTCAACAGGATTTTTTCTCGATATAGAGACACACTGAGTCTCGAGGAGAATCCATGTCGATGAAAATCCTCCTCCACGTCTAGTGTTGATCCAGCCCCACTGATTTAAATTCAATCCATAAATCTCAGCGTGTCTCTCTCCTCACCGAGACTAGCTTCCGAACGACGGTAACGCGTAATTAAGGGGCCTCCATGGAGATTCGGGATAGCGATTAGTCACCCAAATAGTGATTCAGAGATTAGATAAACCCCCCTCCGCCCCTCCACCCCTCCGCCCCCCCGTGAAAGTTTGAGACCGTTCGAATGCACTTTGCCGTGCATCGCAAGAAAATTTTATTCTAGTTTTATCTTCATTTCTTTTTATTACGGACACGAGCTCGTAAATCACTTGGGTTAACGATCACTGGAGGATCGGCCCTCTTTTGCGAGGCTCAAGAGGAGGGATGGACGCGTGCGGGGGCCGTAAGACTGCTATGGATCATAACATTTGTACACCAGAATGTACTCTTTCGAGTAGTGAACCGTGGTAAATATTTCGCTCGTTATTATTCCAGTTAAAAATAGGATCAGCCCAGGCGGGGAGTGTTAATGAGAGTTTTTATTGAAGACAAATTATCATGGGGAGAGGTTCTGCATTTGTAGATTAATGTTACACTCATTCAAGATCATTAATCTAGGGCAGTGATAATTCCCCCGCAGCTGAAAAAAATTGATTCTAACTGGTACGACTTATTCGAATGATTTGTCGGGTGCTCTCCAGTTTTTTGTATGGAATTGAATCTAATCAGTCTTAAAATACATAAATTATGGCAATTAAAGAACTCACATATTTTTTAAAACCTGTTCAATGAACTTTCGAATAAGTACCCAATATATTACGTCAATACGACAGAATGAGACGAATTCTCCCGAAAACAGAACAAAAAGATAGCATTACACACCCAAAAAATTCCTCACGGCTTGCCTCGTGATAAAATGAAACAGCCCAGAGGCTAGAGTTGCATCCCGAAACTTGCAAAGACATCGGGGAAAGAGCAATAACAAAAAAAAAATAGTTTGTTGACATGTTAAAAGTTAATGAAGCAAGTTGAACCATCAGCGAGTGAATCGAGCCGGAAAGTCTGTCCCATCTCTGAACTTTCCAACCCCATGGGTTTTCCCGCTCTCCTGACGGTATATAATATCCGTGAATCACGTCCTCATTAGAAATACGTCAGAATAGTGTAGCGATAAATTGATTGAGCATCTATTCATAATTTATTATTGACATTCGTCTGGCATGAGAGTCGTGTATTCATTGGGCACACGTGACTGTCCCGTGGAGAGAATAGAGAGTAAAACGTAATCGAATCGAAGGCTTTTCCATGAGGTCATATTACCGGAGCAGACGAACCATCGATGTATCGCTGGCAAAGCCTCCCCGAGGCTCCAATCAAGGTGGTATTCAATGTGCTTGTTACTCACCCGGGACCTCAACCCTCCCACCACAATCCGCGTCGCGCCACCTTTCTATCCTACATACGCCCGTCTGCCATACGATAAGTTCATTATCCAGTTGTACCGCAACTACATGCATCTGAACGCAACCGATGCAACGGAAAGCATAAATTTTAGTACGTGATCATCTTTTTTAC